AACCATGACACTATTGTCTTTTTAGAGCTGCTTTACAGCAAAATTTGTCTTAGAATTGATTAACTTTGTTTCAGTAATTCTGTTATTTTCTTGTTTATTATTACAAAGCTGCTTTACAATAATTTGTATTGTATAAAGTGCTATATGAATAAAGGTCACTTGATTTTCTGTGCATATTTGATTCTTCACAATCCCGTTTTTTTGTTTAGTTTTTTTTGTATTCTGCCATTAGATGATGCTCAGAATGACAGTAACTTGCTGTAAAATTACTGGAACGACTTTACCAGTAAATTCAAAAATGTGCTGTTCACACAAGCAACGACGTTCCGTCTTTTTTTCCGGTAAAGCACATCGTTTCAAGTTACCAGTAAACTGTACGACATCATTAACCAGAAATGACCTCTAAACGGCAGCGCCTCCCGGTGTTGTGTTTGTAAACATGGAGGGGTATACGCTGTGTTTTTGTTGATGTTTTCATTTTTGTGTCAAACGATCACATTCATTCAGCACTTTTGGCCCAGAGACGTTGAATTGCAAGACTTGAAATCAAACTACACAGCACGTAGTAAATGCGGCATCTGCATCAAAATGTTATGATTGGCCCAGAGCTGTTGAATTTTGAATTTCAACAGCTCTTGATCGGTCCAGAGTAGACGTCTTACGTCAGCACGTTCTGAACTCGTACTTTCTCATACCGCTAATCTTCATTCTGCATTCACACACAGCATCATTCCGGCAATTTACTGGTGATGTTACAATTTCTCAGACCAGTAAATTGCCGGAACAAATCTACTGGTATTTTTGAAAAGGTCCTGTTCACACATGATCTCTTGACGGTAGTTTACCAGTAAAGTCTGTATGTGTGAAAGGGACTAATGTCAGTTCCAAAACAGTGGACCAATCAGAAGACCCCGGAGTTGGGTCAAGCATTGCAAGCTTTTGTTTACAGTAGCAAATTGTCGGAGAAGGCATTCTGCGCTGTGCTTTTTTTAAAAACCATTCCTGAGCGATGTATTTCACATTTTTTTAGACACAAAGAAACGTTCTGTGTGAATGACCCTCAGGGGTGTCTCGTGAAGAAAGACTTTTGATTATGGCATGAAGTTGGCAAAAAAGTACCAAAACATGGTGTGTAACAAAACTGATTAAATTAATGGGAATCTCTTTTATGATTTTTGTAATCAGAATTGCTGTACATACAATTCTGTTACAAATGAAGTGAATTGAATAAACTGGCTGCTGTTGACTTCTTTAGAGCTGCTTATAGCTGAATTAAGTTTGTTTCATAATTATTAAACTCTACACTGTTATTAACTAAATTCAGCCGAACCATGACACTATTGTCTTTTTAGAGCTGCTTTACAGCAAAATTTGTCTTAGAATTGATTAACTTTGTTTCAGTAATTCTGTTATTTTCTTGTTTATTATTACAAAGCTGCTTTACAATAATTTGTATTGTATAAAGTGCTATATGAATAAAGGTCACTTGATTTTCTGTGCATATTTGATTCTTCACAATCCCGTTTTTTTGTTTAGTTTTTTTTGTATTCTGCCATTAGATGATGCTCAGAATGAAATGTTATTGGTTTGTCAGAAATGCATAAGCTCGATTTGGTGACTCTGAAATATTCTATTAATATAACTAAGAAAAAAAGCACCACCGCTGCTCTTTTAGGATATATGTTGCTTTGAAGTTCAATAACAGGACATGTCGCAGGTCTTGTTTACCCATAAAAGACCACCGGCGTCATCTTTGAGCCACCGATGCCATTTCCTCTGGAGTGTGGGATGTGGCAGTTACTTTCACACGGCCATAAATGCATTGACAGACTGACCCTAGTAGTAAATTCTCCTGTAATTCCAAACCTGTATGCCTTTTATTGTGTGGCGAACACAAAGATATTTCAAAAAATGTGTCAGTGTTTTCTTTTGTCTGTTCAGTAAAAGTCAGTGAGATACAATATTATATAATACTCAAGTTTTAATGCATTTTCACACCAACCAATTTAATATAATTTCTGTGTCCTTTACAGTGTAATGAAGATGTTTGCACAAGATAGAGGATTCAGAGTTCTTCAGGGATGAATGGACTGTGACTTCTGGTTATCCAGTGTTGTATTCCCACTAATCTGACTCAAATCATCTTTACATTTATATGATGCATTGCTTTGGTTTACATTCTAAACTATAATGCACTGATCATACAGCTAGGAAATAATAATATTTATAAGCATTTTATATGTTGATCAGTAATGCTATTTTGATCCTCTTTTTTGTTTTGCCAAATGCATTTAAATTAGTTGAGCAATCAAGTTTGTATTTTAAGCTTTGCACTAAAAGATACTGCTTTAATGAGATTCTTTTATAAACTTACTTTAAGAAAGTCATGTCGTAATTCAGATAAATCTTAATGGTTCTAAAATAGGCTTTATTTTGAACATAAATAAAAGTTTATATTAAGTTTATGGACATATGCCAACTACCCATGATTTTTTCTTTTGATTTTGCGAAATGTAACCTGGACATGTTTTCATGAGATACATCCGTGAACTCAAAAACAAAATGTAAAAAGTAACAACAGAATCTGTAAAACTGAATTGTGAATCATCATTCTTGTGTCTTGACAAGTTCTTGGCATTGTCCCATAATGCACAGAAGAAAGTAACGATTCCTGACTTCATAATTACTCATCATAAGCTTACTTCTAATTAAACACCTTCAAAACCACACAATGAAGACACTAAAAATGTACACAAATGCTATTTTACAATTCACACTTGGCAAGGTATTTTATAGGTATTATGTACTTATTTTTCCTTCAGCTCAAATTTCTTCAAGGTAGTTCTATAAACAATCACAGAGGGTGACTTTATATTTTAATTTCACAGGATACAAAACAGCTATTCTAAAATGAGATTTGCACATCAGCAATCCTTGGCAGGAATATGTTGTGGTATAAAGAACAGGTAGTTCACATCACACCACATTTTATTGGTTCTCAATATAATAAAAGCCTCAAGGCCAGATAAAAATGCACAAATAGGTGCCTGGTTGATGTATGCGTGCTGTTATGGAATTGATGGTGTTGCATGTGCATATGTTTTGATATTTTGAAGATATTTTGCTATAATGCACTTTGATAGCATTGACATCACTGGCAAGTAAATCAAGCAAAACAATGTTGAATACTGTACATAAATGAATCGTACTGCACATTTCTCTTTGTACTTTATATATTGTAGCTATAGAGCATAACATATGTGTATTATTGGCTCTAGAATTGTTTCTAATCACACCATATTTACTCCACACCAGTATCTGTCCATGTAAAAGCTCAAGTCCTTCCAATTTCGATTGAGGCAGACCTGCATTTCTTGTCTGGCAGGGTGTTGCATTGGAAAATGCATGCACTAGCAATTCAAGGATTTTGTTTTATTTGGCACTTCATCACCATAAACCCTTTCTGCCGCCAAGGTTCTAATGTTTAATTTGTTCCAAAGTTGCTTGCATTCAATATATCGCATGTCTCCCGTGCATCAAACAGTACGTGCCATTACAGTGGTGTCGAGGTTTAGATTGGCTAGCAATGAAGCTTCAAAGGCAGATATGAACATTCAAATGATCAAAGTCTCTGTCATGAGAGATAACAGTCATAATCAATAACCCAAGGCAAGCCAATTTTGACTCCGCTAAGCTTTCTGAGAACTCGACAATCCATTTCTTCTCCTACAGTGGCTGCCTGACGTCCGTTTGATCTTTTCCATCATCTCCAATCATTTTTCTTCCGTCCTGTTCGGCTCTTTAGCTCTGCTGTCATTACTGCTTAATCAAGACGAAAAATAACAGTCACCGGCCTTGACTGGATCTCTGATGAGAGGGCCGCCTCCCCTAAAGTGTCCATTTAAGAGACAACTGCTGGCTGTCGTTTCGTCTGCTACGCTCCAGCTAACACATGAACCCCTGCCGCCCCATTAGCCTGCAATCTCAGACCAATTTATGAAATCACGAGATATGATGCTAGCTAACAGATCCTTGAGCGAGACCTTTGCCTAACGAATCCTCTTGGTGTTTGGTGTTTTATGGCACCGCTATGTACAAAATCACATATTCTCTGCTGGAAAATCATGGTTTATGTGAGTTTAGAGTTGGTTCATGCTAGTCTAGGTGGCTCATCAGCTGAACTTTGACCACTTCAGCTTGGTATAACCTATTTTTTTTTATTGTTTTTCCTTTTCAGCAGGTTTCCTTTTCAGCAAGTAATGTAAATATTTCCACCTATAATTAAAAAATGGTTTAAGCTAGTCTAGATGGTTCATCAGCTGGACTTTCCAGTTGGTAGACCAGTAACAAACCAGCTACCAGGTTCTAAAAACTTAAATGTAAACTTTCTGGTGTTGCATGCCACATTTATGAACAAATTTACACATTCTCATCAGCTGTTGTTTTTTATAAAGGATTCAAGCTACTCTAGATGGTTACTCAGCTGGACTTTGACCTGGTAGACCATCTTGGCTGCTGGTTAAAGTCAGTACACCAGTAACAAACCAGCTACCATGTTCAAAAAGCCAACTTGATCACTTTGAATTGGTATAAGTATGAGTTGAATTGGTATATATTTCTTTCTTTCTTTCTTTCCTTCCTTTTCTTTTCATCAGGTTATGTAATGTGAACATTTCCACCAATGACCATATAAGCAAAAAATGGTTTAAGCTACTCTAGATAGTTCATCAGCTGGACTTTAACCTGGTAAACTGTCTTTTCCAAGCTGGTTAGAGCTGGTAGACCAGTAACAAACCTACCATGTTCAAAAAAACAAACTTAGTCACTTTTTGACCTGGCCAAATTGGTTGGAGTTGGTAAACCAGCAACAAACCAGCTACTAAAAACTGTTCTAAAAACCTAACCCTAAACTTTTTGGTGTTACATGTCACATTTATGAACAAAATCGCATGTTCCCTGCTGGAAAGTCAATCATTTGGTGTTTTTATAGAGGGTTCAAGCTACTCTAGATGGTTCATCAGCTGAACTTTGACCTGGTAGCCCATCTTGACCAAGCTGGTTAGAGTCTGTAGACCAGTAAAAAAAACAAAATCTTAAAAAAAAATAAAAAATGTAATCACTTTAACTTGGTATAACCTCTTTTTTTTCCAGCAGAGTTATGTCACATGAACATTGACACCATTGACCATAAGCAAGCAAAACAGTTGTAAAGTATTAAAACTAAACTAATGTATGATGAAAAATTTGTTACAAAATCTGTTGCTGCAGAAAATGGTCTTGATCTGATAAAAAAAATCTTATGTTCTTAATGGTGCAATGATGCTTTTTATGCTCTTGCCCCTAAACATGCTAAAACATTGTCTTAACAATAGCAATGCATGGAAATGTTCCCTGGCAGAACGAACAGCTTGTATGAAACAAACAAATAGTCTGAGTGACCCTTTGTACCTTTTTCATTCCCATATTGCAGCAGCTTCCTGCCATTATCTGCTGGCTTTAACAGAAGTCTGTAGCGTAATTGCAAGGCAGCCATGAATCAGAGCTATTTATGGACAAATACACACGAAGCTTGAAGCGATATGGTTTTAACAGTCTTAAGGTTGTCAGGTAATTGTCAACATGGGCCCGTTTATGTAACGCTAAGCCCTCGCTTTTAAAGATTCTTCAGTGAAACATAGTGTAGAGAGCACATACATTAGGATTTTGTTGGGAAACCGGTGCTCAACAGGACTCCAGCTTTTGCCTCTCTCCGCTGCATGCTTTAGAAAAGAACAAATTATTTCCTATGCCATTTTCTAAATATTTCAAGGCTGCTTATTATGAAATCAAACATTATGCCTTGACTGGTTTCTATTCAAACCACAATCTCTATCGGCTTCCAAGCCTTCAGTTGTTGACTAATTTTGGGACCGCTCAAGCGCAACGGATATCTTCTTGGAGAGCCGACAGAATCGAAAGCCAACCGAGGGGATTTATCCGTTTACATAATCTGGAAAAAATAATCTGATGTCAATAAGACCTGTCGTTACAATGAAACTCTTTCGTTTACACGTGTTTTCCGATGCCAAAATTAGTCATGTGTCACAAGAAACCTGTAAACAGGCAAACAGGACGAAATCTTGCTTAAAAGTCTCTTAAACAGACAATGAAAAAGCATGCCTCTTTTTCAGAAAAACAACACCCTCACTGTGCACGTTCACGACGCCTGCACTCGTTGGTTATATGTGCGCATTTGAAAGTTCACAGTAGACATCTATGCAGTCACACATGTAGGTGTCGCACACCTTGGTCGTGTCTGTCATTTCAGACTAACAGCCAGGCAGCCGCCACAGAACAACATAATATGATCATAATATTGATCCAAGCTCTCCTAACCGTTGCCTAGTTTGTAAAATATACACAGACTCCTGTATCTCCAGCGGCAGGTTACCACACTCGACATTTCTCTTCGGGGTTCATAGGAGCTCCTCGTGCGCAATGAAATGCTTCAGAAAAGGCCTCAAAGTTCTGGAGGGACCCCAGAACCCTGTTAAGAACAAACAAACAAACATGACACTATTCATCTCTAAAACATCTACAGCTGTCCTAAAAAATATTTGGTACTTAAAGGGATATTCACTCATTAATTACTCACCCTCATGTCGTTCCAAACCCATAAGACCTTCCTTCATCTTCAGAACACAAATTAAGACATTTTTGATGAAATCCGAGAGCTTTCTGACCCAACGCAACTGACTCGTTCAAGGCCCAGAAAGGTAGTCAGGACATTGTTAAAATAGTCCATGTGACATCAGTGGTTCAACCGTAATGTTATGAAGCTACAAAAATACTTCTTGTGCGCGAGGAAAACAAAAATAATGACTTAATTCAACGATTTCTTCTCTTCCAGGACAGTCCTCCGCCATTATCGAGAGTACCACGATGCACATTATTTTAGTCTTCTTTGCGCACAAAAAGTATTCTCGTAGCTTCATAAAATTACAGTTGAACCACTGATGTTGGACCTTACAGATGAACCTTACAATGTTTCTGTGCATTGAACATGGTAGTAACCTTGCTCTCTAGGAGGGTCAGAAAGCTCTTGGATTTCATCAAAAATATCTTAAAGGGGTCATATGATGCTGCTAAAAAGAACATTATTTTGTGTATTTGGTGTAATGAAATGTGTTAATGCGGTTTAAAGTAAAAAAAACACATTATTTTCCACATACTGTACATTATTGTTTCTCCTCTATGGAGGCGGCGCCGGCCTAGCGTGACCTTAGCGTGAACTGAGGCCGGGCTAGAGTGAGCAGAGGCGGCGGGGTCGAGAACGGCATGCCCGGCGGATCCGACGAAGGAGCGGCAACCACATGTGACGACCCCAGGCTGGATTCCGCTTCGTCCACGGTGAAAGCTGATCCGGCGATCCACAGCACTAAGTTGATGTATTTCCTCAGCGACCAGCACGGATCAGCTCTAGGCATGACGAAGCGGATATCGTCCTCTTTTGGAAGACCAAACAAAGTAGTTTCGCTTTCACAACAAAGCACACAGCGTCTTCACTAAATGGCGGCAGCGGCAACAACAATACTACAGTGAGAATTAAAGTTACGCCTTCTTTCTTTGCGTGAACATTTGGGTGGCATTATGCAAATATTCCCACATAGTGAGGTAGATATGTTGGGGGCGTGTTAGAACGAGCCGTTTTAGGTAGGTGTGGTTGACTCTTAACTTTTATAAAGAATATCTCTTTGGATTTGAGACTTTAGTCTTTGTAACTTTACAGATCTTCTTTATGCACCAAGAGCTTGTAACACTCCAAAGAGAAAGGAAAAATTGAAATCGCAACATATGACCCCTTTAATTTGTTTTCCGAAGATGAATGAAGGTCTGACGGGTTTGGAACGACATGAAGGTGAGTAATTAATGACAGAATTTTCACTTTTGAGTAAACTAACTCTTTAAGTCACACTTAAAAATGTCTGAATGTCTTTGCATTAAAGAAAAAGTTATTTTCACTTTTCTTTATCATTTTTGCTCAATGTATTTGAATCAGCTGGTATTTTGGTGCGTTTTAGTGGATGTGTGAGTTCAGTTCTCCTGAGACACTTTTGAAGTGGCATTTTTTTAAATGTTTTGCTTGAAAATGTTTTAAATAATCAGAAAAGATGCAAGAAACCTGTAAACATGAAGTATATTAAAATATATGAAGTATATGAAAATACAGTAAAATATATAAAGTTGCTTCATATATGTATAAGATACATATGTATAATATAATAATAATTTTTTAAAGAAATTAATACTTTTATTCAGCAAGGTTGCATTGACAGTAATGAGATTTATAATGTTACAAAATATTTGTATTTAATGAAATGCTGTTCTTTTGAACTTTATAGTCATCAAAGAATCCTGAAAAAAAAGATCACAGTTTTCAGTTTGTCACACTGTTTACTGTTTTCAACATTGATAATAAGAAATGTTTCTTGAGCCACAAATCACCTTATTAGAATGATTTCTAAAGCATCATGTGACACTGAAGACTGGAGTAATGATGCTGAAAATTCTGCTTTGCTTCACAGGAATAAATTACATTTTTAAATATATTCAAATAGAAATGTTATTTTAATTTGTTTTTTTTACAATATTACTGTTTTAGAAATCATATAAATGGAGCCTTGTTGAGCATAAGTGACTTTTAAAATCATTTAAAAAATCTTACAGACACCAAACTTTTAAATAGTAGTTTACATAATAATTTTGAGTTTTAAAATCCAATAAAATATTTAGTGGGTACAAATTTGGTCTTTCAAGAATTCCTTTTTGCTTATGTCTTGTTTTCCCTTTGAATTGAGATTATGTTTCTTACCCCACTGGCAGATATTCTTCTTAAGCAAAAACTAACAAAATTTAGATACATTCTTAATATCTTGAGTCATTTTGCTTTTCAAGTAAAGTAGCTTAATTTTTGGTAAAAAATAAATAAATAACAATATTTTTTAGATTAAATGTTTAGACATTTAAACTAGAAAACGAGACAAAAATACCAAGTAAGATTTTTATTTTTTTACAGTGAATTATATTACAGATGGATAATAAAGGTTTTGGAAGAAAAGACGGACTTTGATGTTGTTTGAGACATTGCTGGCATATCTTATAAAAGTCAGAAAAAATATTTAAACATCCTTAAAAGAAGCAGAGAATGAAGTGTATACATTACCTTATTTACACAAAAATCTATAGATTTAGCAAAAAAATGCCAGAAGAGTAAGCGAAAATGACTTTACTATATAACTGGATTCATTTTCAATATTTGTACAAATTAAACCTCCTAATGTAAATGTAAACATTTCTATCTTGTTTTAAAATTCATTCATTTTTGTGGCTAGAAAATTGCATTACATTCATTTTTTTACTTTTAATGTTTGTTTCTATATTTAATTCTGTTTACAATTTTTTACATCCGCAAAAGTGTCCATTTACTCTGCATTTAATGTTTTTGCAGCCTTGAAGAACCAACTGAGATCTCATTTAAGTTTTTTTTGTTTTTTTTAGGGCAGTGGAAATGCTTAGATCGGACCCAAAGCATGCACATACTACAAGTACTGCGAGTATAAACCATGTATTTGTTATTTGTTCATTTACAGATTCTTTCCATCCTTCTAAGTGAAGTTCAACTTACATTTTGGCCTCCTGCGAGTTTCCAGCTGAATTTGCCGTACTGTTCCACCATGCATTTAGATTGATCCTCAAAGCGCTCGGCAGAGTAGTTGCTCCACCAGTTGTACATGTTCCCATCCTTGTCAAAATTACGGCCTGTGAAAATAAATATTTCATTTTTTGGAACACGGTCATATTTTAAACAGACAAGCGTTGCGGTTGCTCTTTTGCGCTGTGGTTTGGTCCAGTGGAGAACAATTTATCCGTGATATTTAAAACCCCTCCTTTAGCACAGAGTTTAATGCATCACACATAAAACAGGATTATCAACAAATCCACATTGTTTATTCATCCACAGCTAACTGATAATTGGTACAATCCATCAGATGAGATGCATATTACCGTGATCATCAAATCCATGAGTGATTTCATGTCCTATAACCATGCCAATTCCACCAAAGTTTAGAGCTTGCAGCTGTTTTTCACTGAAGAACGGAGGCTGGAGGATGCCAGCAGGAAACACTGAAAGAAAGATGGATGCATAGAAAGAGATGAAATTCAGCATAATGCCTGGGTAATTGACCAGGAAATGCGTTTTCGAGATCCTAATCGAGTCACGTGAGAAAGCAACTCCTTTGAATAGTAACAGAGTGTTAACTTTAGACACTTTTATGTCCGATTTTGTATCAAAATGATCAGATTTCAGCTTTTTCTTAGAATGTTTCTGAAGGTCACATTAAAACTGTGTTGGTAAAGACTAGATTGAGGTTAAAAAAAGTATGACAGTTTTTATAGCCATGCATATATATATTATATAATGAATTTAATATATATATTTATATATGTATGCTTTATATACACATGCATATGTTCAGATTTTTTTTAAATATAGTTTTATATTTCAATATCTGTGTAAAAAAACATTTTGCACGTAAAAATGTTATTTTCAAAATGTAACAGCTGTGCTTATTTACCCATAAGAAAGCAATGTCAACAATGTGATGTATGAGATATATGCGAAAACTGAAAAAATCAAGGTAAATATCACTAAAAAGCAACAGTTCAGAAATGTCAAAAGTTAGTGGGCATCATGTTAGTGGACATATTACCCTAGCGAAAAATAAATATACTAAAATGTATTTGTAATACATTTATTTTGTGCTAAGTATATATCTATATACATAATAAAAATACCCTGCATTATTGTACTATTAGTACACTAAACTGGTATACTTAAAAGTCTGCAAAATTGGAAACTAATTTTGTGCTTAATGCATTTTAATTGTGCGGAAGTAGTGCTGAAGTCCAACTAAAGATAAACTGAAGTACATTTCATTGTGCTAAAGTGGAACTATTGCAAGTGTACTTCAGGCACTCTTTAAACATCTTGCATTTAAAGACTGATATTATTCAGAGATCATAAAATCCTAATCAATAGTGACATTAAAACACATTTTAGGCTTGATATTAAGAAACGTGCATTGTGCACAGGTAGTACTCCAAATAAGTCTCGAGCGAAATGTCAGTAAATATGTTAATAGATTTGACTGAAATAAATATATTACTTTTTTTTTACTAGGGTAGATACTAAAAGTGTGAAAAGTGCTTTTAAAGAGTCTCCACAAGACCCGAAGCGCCCATACTTGAAGAAACGCTCAGTAATGTGATGGTAATGGTGTATACTAGAAGGACAGAAAGGTCTCTGCTGTGTAGCGTCCTCCAGCTATAGCAGTTACAGCTGCCACTCTTGTCTCTCAAATGGCAATTCAGCTTGAAGTCTTTCCCAGATTGTCCAGGAACATTAAAATGAGCAATCTAAGAGTAATTATGTGGAAATTTCTCCCGCTGAAAATCTGCATAATCACTTGGCTTTTGTAATCTCTGTATTAACACAGCCTGAATAGCGTGCGCTCAGCGTCCACAGCCCATCTCTGGAAACACAAGCTTTGTGGGCAGTGGAGCCTGAAACTAGCTTTGTTTAATCTACAAGGGGAAAGCACTACAGGCATTAGAGCCATTATGCCAATGGGCTGAGAAAGCATTTATACTGAGAGCCCTCAACAGCTTAGGAGAAATCTGACCAGAGCAAATACTTCACAGAAGACCCACATTTGGACAACGCTGCTTATTTTAGTGTGCGGTTGTGGCCTCCACTGCTGGAAAGATCTGTTTACTCAACCGTGAATCTCAGTGCTGGACTAGACCGGTCTGTGCTGGTCTAGCTGCTGGAACTGTAGATAGACTAGTTTTCTCAAGTGGAGCTGTAAAGGTGTTTGTTTAGGAATTTTGTTGTTTTTTAATGATAAATGAAGTCTGAATGATCAAGTAAATGTGCAATGTTTTTTGGACTACATTGTCCATTTGTGGTAAATCGATTAAAGAAAATAATTTATATTGTAAAATATAGAATATAATATATTAAAAAATATAATATTATTTCTTACTATATGGCTATGAATTTAGTTTCTGGTTTCTGCTGTGCTAGTACAATGCTTTAAAAAATTAATTTATTAAATGTTTTAATGTATTTTTAATTTATTATTCTATATATCATATCATATCATATCATATCATATCATATCATATTATATTATATTATATTATATTATCTGACTATATGGTTATGAATTTACCAGTCTGGTTTCTGTTGTGCAAGTACAATGCTTAAAATGTTTTTAATTTATTACATTTTTAATGTATTTTTAATTTATTATTCTATACATTATATTATATTATATTATTTCTGAATATATGGTTATGTATTTTCCAGTCTGCTTTCTGTTGTGCAAGTACAATGCTTTTTTATTTAATTTATTAAGTTTTACATTTATTTTTAATTTATTATTCTATATTATATAATATAAAATAATTTCTAACTATATGGCTGTGAATTTACCAGTCTGGTTTCTGTTGTGCAAGTACAATGCGTTTTTATTTTTTTTAATTATTAATTTTTTTAATGTATTATTACTTGCTTGTTTGCTATATTATAAAATAGAATATTATTCCTTACTGTATATGGCTGTGAACTTGCCAATCTGGTTTCTGTTATGAGAGTTAAACACATTTTAATTTTTGTTATTTATTTAATTTTTACATTTATTATTAATGTATTATTATATATCATATTATACGCTATATTATATTATACAATGGAATATTTTTTCTGACTATATGTCTATGATCTTACCAATCTGGTTTCTGTTGTGTGAATAGAAAGCGTTGACCACAGCCGCACCAATAATCCACCTAAAACAGAGACAGAGAGAAAAACTTGACACAGTGACGGGTCACGAGAGAAAAAAAGGGTCTTTCTTGCATTTATTTATTAATGTTTCGTACATGTCAGGATCCACAGGCTCCCTCAGCTTCTTATGAACTTTCTGGGCTGAAGCTGCCAGGTTTTCCAGGATGTTCTCAAAGTAGTTCTCCTCACTGAAATTCAGCTGTGAGCAAACAGAGAGAGACAGATAATCTCACATGGATGTATTTCTGTCTGAGCTGCCATCATTCTTGAATTTATGTGAATGAGATATTAGCTGGTTTGGATGCTAATTTCTTTAGAGGTCAGGGTTCTCTGAGTTTCCATACGTGTGTGTATTCCTCGTCCAATTTCTTATTTTCCTCCTCAAGGATGTGGTCGGGATAACCGATCTGTTCCGATATCGCCATAGCCTGCAAAACAAGGAAAACATAATGAAAAACAGGGGTTTAGAAAGTGAGAACAACTCAGACTGTAGGATAGTATATGCAAATAATAATAATAATAACAAATAAAAATGCCTTAATTAATTCAAAATAAGCTTAAAGATGAAACCCAGTTTATAATGACAATAAAAGAAGATAAAATTAGTATACATAAAATGCATAACAACATTAATTGTGAATATTTTATTATTGTTAACTTGGAATTATATATAATTAAAATGATAAATTAATTAACCTTATTGTTTACTAAAGAATAAAGCAGGAATGAAATTTTACACACACACACACACACACACACACACACACACACACACATATATATATATATATATATGTTTAACTGCATGTCATGAACCATGAAAATATGAATATAAAGTATTCAAATATCTTAAAATTTCAGAGGGTACTTCAAGTAAAATCCTAAAAAAAAAAAAATGTTATAAATAATTACTTTATTTCAGTAAATAATTATATCAAAATAAAAATCTAAAATGTCTTATATTCACCACTGGGTTTTAAAAACATCAGAGAACCATGAAAATATGAATTTTAAATGATTAAAATATTAACTTAAAATTTTAGAGGATACTTCAAGTAAATATTTTAGGTCAAAAAAGTATGGAAATAGGGGTTAAACTCCAGAAATAAAAGCTCTTCATTAGGAGTTGTGGCAATGAATAGCATCTCACCTTCTCTCTGGCCTTCTCCTTGGACTGTTCATCCATCCAGCTCAGTTCTTCCAGTGTTTCCACATAAGCTTCCTGAATCTTTCTGATCAGGTCACGCACCTGAACAGCAGTGCAGAGACACATTAAAAGTCAACAACCCTTTTCATACCATTTATCAAATAGCCGAAATAGCTGTTCACTTATTGGAGAGTTAGTTGGTATATCATGCAATTAATCGATTAATAGTTCTAATGATTTACTATAGGATAAGGGAATAAATTATGATTTTTCAGGAGGCCGATGTTACATCTGCTGAAAAGGAAAGTCGTTTTGATGGAATATGATGAAGAAAGATAAATCATTCACAATAAGACCAGAATTAAGAGCATAAATAAGGTCCATTTTGTCTTTTTGATTGTTGAACTATTTGACTGTTCTAGAAAAACTATATAAAGCCACATACAGCTATATGTAAAATGCAGAGATGCACTACTAGTCAAAAGTTTTAGTAACAGTAAGATTTTTTATATTTTTAAAGAATTATTTTCTGCTCACCAAGCCTGCATTTATTTGATACAAAATACCGCAAAAGCAGTAATATTGTGAAATATTTTTACTATTTTAAATAACTGCTTTCTATTTGAATATATTTTAAAATGTAATTTATTCCTGTGATTCAAAGCTGAATTTTCAGCATCAGTACTTCAGTGTCACATGATCCTTCAGAAATCATTCTTATATGCTGATAAACATTTTTTTATATTATTATCAATATTTAAAACAGCTGATTACATTTGTATTTCAGGATTCTTGGTTGAATAGAAAGATCCAAAGATCAGCATTTATCTGAAATAAAAAGATTTTTTAACATTATACACTATAACATTCAAAAGCTTGGAGTCAGTAAATATATATTTTTTTTTTTTTAGAAAAGAAAAATTAATAGAAATCGATACTTTTATTTAGCAAGGATGTTTTAAATTGATCAAAAGTGACATTTATGTTACAAAAGATTTCTATTTCAGATAAACGCTGTTCTTAACTTTCTATTCATCAAAGAATCCTGAAAAAAATTCTACTCAGCTGTTTTCAACATAATAATAAATGTTTTTTGAGCAGCAAATCAGAATATTAGAATGATTTACATGTGACTGGAGTAATGATGCTAAAAATTCAGCTTTGAAATCACAGGAATAAATTACATTTTAACATATATTCAAATAGAAAACAGTTTTTAAATAGTAAAAATATTTCAGAATTGGACTGTTTTGGCTGTACTTTGGATCAAATAAATGCAGGCTTGGTGAGCAGAAGAATAAAAATCTTACTGTTCAAAAACTTTTGACTGGTAGTGTATATAAAATCATTCATCCTGACTTAACAAACTGAGACGACTTTCTGTCAAATCACTGAAACCATCATCAGAACAGTCTAAACAATCCATGTCGATCTGATAATAGCTGTTATGTAAAGCAATGCAGGAGGATGTTCCTGTTATGTCTGCTGGTGTGTGTTTTTGCTTTTACCATGCGTTTGCTGTTTCCAGAGAAGGTTTCGCGGACGTACAGGGCCCCGACGGCGTTCTCCATGTTTCCCTGGACATAACGGACACAGTCTCTCCACCTTGCCTCCTCTACCGTAGTGCCATGCAAAGCCTGAGAGAACACACACAACACAACCAAGACAATGGGTCCAAAACAAGGTTGAGAGCCCCTGTGTTATGTAGCCTAGTGGACTAAAACAGTAGTGGATCACCAAAAGAGTTTTGAGAGCGGTGTTAAATGCCACGAGAGCTGTCCTCTGTTTGTGTTCAGAGCGAGACTGACCTTTCTGTAGTGCGCTCTCACATCTTTGAAGCGCCGACTCATACTGCTGACCCTCTCCATGATGAGCATCCACGCCAGATAGTTCTGCAGAGTCCTGCGGGGATCACATGTGCAGACCATTTCATATTAGAATTGATTTATATTCCATTATTTATTTTTTTATGGACACCTTTTTTAGGTTTTTGTCACAGATTACTGAAAAAGTGTTATTGTTAACCAAAAAATAAAACTACAACTCTAAAAATGTTAACTGAAATAAATATAAATAGTATATGAAAAAAGTTACAATTTGAAATGATACTAAGTCTAAGTTTAACCAATTATTCAAACAAAAACTGAAATAAAAATGATTTAAAGCTAAATAGAAATATAATAAAAACATAAAAAAAACAACAGAAATAAATAAACACAATTACTAAAACTTAAACTAAAATGAAAAATGTAAATTAAAATGACTTTAACATTTTAATAAAAACTATAATAGCTTGAATGCAATGTAAGTTGCTTTGGATAAAAGTATCTTCATATATATTAAAGTTTAGGAAGGAAAATTAATAAAAATGTAATATTAGATGAACGTACTTACACTAAATGAAATTTAAAATATGTTGCCTTGGCAAATAACTGATCATTTTAAGATATAGTACTAAAAATAAAACTGAAATAAAAAATGACAGAATAACACAAAATTATTAAGAAATTAAAGTTCAAACTAAAATTATAAAAACTAATTTAAAATTTTAATAAACACTATAGCTTGAATGCAATGTAAGGATGCAATGCTTAGATAAAAGCATCTGCCAAATACATAAATCTAAAATGTACATTAATGGAAAATAATAAATTAGATCTTTTTTTAGTAGGTCAGTTGTATCTCCTAGACATAGACAATGCCAAAAAAAAAAAAAAAAAGGAAATACTAGATGAAAATATCATGACAAAAACACAGAGCACAAGTACTTCAAATAATAAAAAAATTAAAAAAAAATTTGAAAAGTTAATGAATGCTACAATAGCTTGAATGCAATATAAGCTGCTTTGAATAAAAGCATCTTCCAAATGCATATATGTGAATGCATATTAAAAGTGTAGGAAAGAAATCTCTTTAATAAGTCTTAAACTGTGTTCAAATACATGCAACTTGAATCTCAATATAATACTCAAACATTTATTCAATATAAAATTCTCTATGCTATGCTATCCACATTCATTGTATATCTCTGAATTCTTACTGCGTGTCAACATTTGTCTCCTTTTATTTCTTATACAGCAATTTTCAAAGAAGCACAGATGACTTCAGTGAACATAACTAAAACTTCTGAGCTCTGAAAGAGTAACCTCCAGGCAATATTTATTTCTTCTGGATCAGCATAATTGACATGACAATGAAGAATTTTTCATGAGTCAGTCAGCTGTGAATGTAAAGCATCACCTGTGACTGTGTTTGGAAAGAACATCACTGAGCTTCTCCAGGTATGGTGAGCAGTACACAACTATGGGTTCATCTGGTTGCACCGTGACTGACACGCTGGACATGATACCCTGGATGTAGCGCGTCCAGTTAAAGCCCTGAAATTTCAGAAAGAGATACAAAACAAGCATGTGAACTCTAAAAAACTGACAAAAGAAACACACAATCTTATTTCAACATTCAGTGACCATCATTTGAACAAGTAGGATGTTTTCTTAGATCAACATCCTTGTTCAAACAAGGGAAACAATGAGAGAAAATGCTACGAAAAATAAACATTAAAAAGCATGACTATAATATTATGACTGAATTTGAACATTGTTACTTTTTCACTCTGGTCTCTAAAGCCTGGTAGGAAATCGTGACATGAATCACCATTATTTTGTTCTATTAAAGGGGTCATATGATGCGATTTCAAGTTTTCCTTTCTCTTTGGAGTGTTACAAGCTGATTGTGCATAGATAAGATCCCTGAAGTTGCAAAGACTAAAGTCTCAAAACCAAAGAGATATTCTTTATCAAAGTTAAGACGGCCAATCACAATGCACTGGGTCAGCTGGCCAATCAGAGCAGACTGCGCTTGTCGCAAGGAGGGACTTTGTAGAAAACGAAGCGTTTGAGAGAGGCGGGACATAGAGGACCTACAATAATGTACAGTATTTGAAAAATAATGTGTTTTTTGAACATTAAAGCATGTCAACATATTCTGTTACACCAAATACACAAAATAACGATCTTTAAAAAAGCATCATATGACCCCTTTAACAGCCATAGATTTTATTTAGCACGGATACATTAAATTGATCAAAAATGACTAATGACAATTAGAAAATATTTCTATTTCACATAAATGCTGTTCCTCTGAACTTTCTACTCATCAACAAATCCTGAAATAAATGTATCATGGTTTCCACAAACATATGAAGCAGCACAACTGTTTTCAACATTGATAATAATCAGAAATGTTTGTTGAGCAGCGAATCAGCATATTAGAATGATTTCTGAAGGATCATGTGACACTGAAGACTGGAGTAATGATGCTGAAAATTCAGCTTTGCATCACAGGAATAAATTACATTTGAACATATATTCAAATAGAAAACAGTTACTTTAAATTAAAATAATATTTCACAATATTGTTGTTTTTGCTGTATTTTTTACCAAATAAATGCCGTACTTACATTGAGGTTGAAAGCTTGCTGCACTTCTCTCAGTGTCATTTTGTTGTAGAGGACGGTGATGTCATTGCGCTCTTCTGCAGGTGAGGTAGCCTGTTGAAGCACAGAGCAGACACTCTAGTGACATTTACAGAATCACTAACATTCTGGCTGTTGTGTTTTACCATCAGTTCAACTCACGTTTGCAATGTCTGTCTCCAGCTCCAACACTCGAGTCATGTCCTCCCTCACACGTTCTTCATCTTGGGTCAGGTTCCTGTCTTCTCGTGCAATCCTTGCTATGGAGACCATGAACTCAAGGTAGGCCTTGCGCACCTGACCAGAGATACATGACCAGGGAGTTGCTGATTATTATAACAATTGCATTGAGCGACAGAATGCATCTCGAAAAAGGACACAATGTACCTTCTTATAATTCCCATCACTGAGGTAATAATCTCTTGAAGGCATTCCTAGTGCTGGCTGGTCAACCTGTGACAACAAACCAATGTAGTTTAATGACTAAATCAGTTTGTTATCTGAATCGCTTGTATTATACGGTATGCATGAGATCATCCAATAGTGCAACATTCATAATTAAAGCAGCACTATGTAACTTTTGGCGCTCTAGCGGTTAATAAACAGAACTGCACACATCCCGCGGAAGAACATTCCAACCGGAGCTACTTCTCTAAGTTTATGTCTATGGCGATTAACGCAGGTATGTGTTACTCCGCAGCGGTGAAGACCCGACCAGGCGACAATAGTCCAAATATAAGTACTTATTTAGGGATGCACCGATATGAAAATTTTGGCCGATACCAATAACCGATAATTCTTTATTTTTGAAAGCCGATAACCGATATGTTGGCCGATAAATCTATATCCAAATTTTTATATACTTTTTGAGAGCCTGATTACAAAAAAGGTCTCATCATTAAAAACCATGTACTCGCTCATTATATACATTTAGCAAATTTTGAACAAAGAAAAAGTTACATAGTGCTGCTTTAAACCGTCGAAAAATCAAATTGTGTTTTATTAGCTCATGCTGAAATGGTACTTTAATCTGGTGCTATTAGGTCAAATGAATTGCAGTGAATTCTGTGTGTTTTAACGGTGATGTGCCACTAAAACCAATCAAACTGACAACTCATAACATCAACTTGGTATTGTGCAGATTCAAAAAGTGTATAGTCTTACCATAAACGTCAAAAAAAAAAACATGGTATTACTTACTTATTACCATGGTACTACCATACCCAGCTAACAAAAATATGTTCTACAAACGTTGTGTAATTTAGTAATCTAAAAGTAATCAAAAAGTAGTCTGATTCCATTACCTAAAATGTGTAATGTAATGGATTACGTAACTACAATTTTTAGTACAACTACAAGTACTGCGGTTACAAAAAATGTTAAAAGAATGTCAACTAAAACATAAAAAAAACTATGTATAAATTACGTTTATGTGTAACGTTCTTGAGAACATTATTAAAGGGATAGTTCACCCAAAAATGAAAATTCTGTCATTAACTACTGTCCCTCATGTTGTTCATCTTCAGAACACAAATTAAGATATTTTTTATGAAATCCGAGAGCTTTCTGACCCTGCGTAGACAGCAATGCAACTGACATGTTCAAGGCCCAGAAAGGTAGTAAGGACATTGTTAAAGGGGTCATAGGATGCTACATGCACTTTTACAAGTTGTTTGAACATAAATATGTGTACACAACCACCCTATAATGATAAAAATCCACCTGGTGTTTTTTTTTATCGTGTTAAATGTTTTCCCCTTTCTCAAATCGAGCCGATCTCAGATGCCTGTCTGTGTGACCTCACAAAAACAGGCCCCTCCCACGATAGTTTGATTGACAGTAGCGTTTCAGCACAGACTGGACTGGCGTCTTACCTTAGACCCGCCCTGAGTGAGCTGTCATCAGTCCACCATTGTTTCACCGCTGAAGCAGATGTAGACAAGAATGACTCCTAAGTGATTGAGGTGTTTTGTTGTTGGATGTAATAATGAACATAGCAGTCGTCATTTACTCCCGACATCTGAGCCGCTGAAGACGCAGTAGATTATGTTTGTTTCTGAAGGGAATGCTTCCCCGATCTGCCTAAATGCGTCTATGTTCGCGCTAATCATTCGTGATCCAGCTTCATCTACAGAAGAAGTGAGTATAATGTTTTGTAATGAATCTTTGCAAATCGCCTTTCCTAATAATGTGCTAATTAGCAAGTTTCACGATGAATGCAGCTAAAGTAAACAGTCTCTCTGAGAGCAGCTCGGAAGAGAGGGGCGGGGTCAGCAGAGCTCATTAACATTTAAAGGAAAATGCTACAAAAATGGCTTGCTCGGTAGTCATGCGCGGATGAGCTAAAACATCACTCGAATCCGCAGCTTCAAATAAATTATCCACCCGCCAACCGCCCGCACCTGTATTTTTGTCTGATTTAGATAACCGCACCCAATCATCACATTAGGGTTCGTACGGTCATGAAAAACCTGGAAAAGTCATTGAACAGCAATTTCCAGGCCTAGAAAGTTTTGTAAAAATAAATAAACTCAAAAAGTTTTTGAAAAGTCATGAAAATCTATTTCACAAGTCTCTGTATAATAGAATTATGTTTAATCAGATCCTGAATTTCGTTGCGGGATTGCGCATACATCGCATTACTCATTCCCGCAGCTTTCGACTTTAAAATGAGGGAAATTACTGCAAAACCTTTATTCAATATAGCGTGTAGGTTAGATGAGTAAATAAATCCACACAAATCATCAGATGAAAACAGCTTAGGTAATTCAGCTGTACCGGCGTCTTCTCTCTTTGACTTTCGCTTCACATCGACACATCTAGAGCTTATTATTTTCACGTCTATTTAAGCCATTCGGTACTCTCGCTCTCCAGAGGCGCGTGCGCTCACAGTCACATGTGAGTACCAAATTGAGAAAGTACTGTCGGTTTTGTCTTAAGTTAATGTAAACAGTGGCAAAATAAAACGCATGGGTATCAGTATTGGATCCGTGAAATAGGTCTTGTGACAGCAGCCTAATAAAGCTGTGCCGTCTTTTATTAATGTTAATCAAACAACAAAAGACAGAGAAAATCCCTTACAGCTTTTGACTAAATAATGTTTTGTTGAATAACTTTTAATGTTAATTTACAGTTTATTAAATTTCTGTAGCCTATTTAAAACACATTCATAATTTAGAAAATGTAGTTAATACTTGCATCATTAAGGATTTATTTTATCCACCCGCGACCCACCCGCAAATAATCAGAATGCATTTTTTTATTACCCGACCCACCCGATCCGCGGATTATCCACAGCGCCCGCGGATATAACCGCCATCCGCGCATCACTATTGCTCGGAAAAAAGCTGTTTTTGACAGGGTAAAAAAGGTGTTTTTTACCCTACCATTGAGAAATTTTAACCAAACTATGTTACAGACATTTCATTAAGACCCTAAAGAATCAACTTGTGGAAAATGGGCATCCTATGACCCCTTTAAAATAGTCAATATGACATCAGTGGTTCCAACTGTAATTTTATGAAGCTACGAGAATACTTTTTGTGCACAAAGAAAACAAAAATAACTACTTTATTCAACAATTTATTCTCTTTTGGGTCCGAGTAAGGCTGGGCAAAAAATTGCAAGTCATCCTCTCTGTCAAAATCTTCAGACATGTTTACGCTGACTGTTTTATGTACAGTAAACTTCTTCTGCTTGTAAACAAGGCGCAGTGCTTCCGGGCTCAACATCAGAACGCCAGCTCCTGCATCATCAGCAGCACCAGGTGCATGCATCATGGTACTGTAGTGAATGTGCGTCGAAAACTGACACAGAAGAGAAGAAATTGTTAAATAAATTTTTTTGTTTTGTTTTCTTTGCACACAAAACGTATTCCCGTAGCTTCGTAAAATTAAGTTTGAACCACTGATGTCACATGGACTATTTTAACGATGTCCTTACTACCTTTCTGGGCCTTGAACGTGGTAGTTACATTGCTGTCTATGGAGGGTCAGAAAGCTCTCGGATTTCATCAAAAATATGTTCATTTGTGTTTGAAGATGAACAAAGGTCTTGTTTGGAACAACATGAGGGTGAGTAATTAATGACAGGATTTTCATTTTTGGGTGAATTATGCCTTTAAAGGCCAGATAACTTTGAACATTCTATTAATGTTATTGGACGACATTTGTTCAACAACTCTGCCAAAATATTAGCCACAGTTCTGTTAATGTTCCCTGTTAGCTAAATGTCCAGAAAACATGGAATTACCATCATACATGTCCCAAAATATTAAAATACTATGGTGTTTTGTTGTTCATACATAAGAGTAAACTATACAGTATATTCAATAACTTACATGAATAATGTAGCGGCTGGAGTCGCGATCATCAGGCCACACAAACATCTCAAACACAGCCTTCTTATTGTACCGTGCATTCAGAACAGCCAGGGTATCCTCCAGTCTCCACACTTGCTCTGTGAGATCAAAGTTTTGTGTTTTTTGTCCATGTCTGTTCGCTTTGAGGCAATATATATCCTAAAAAACTCTGCACAGATACTTGTTTAATATGTTCTGTTTTTCTTTTAATAATGAACTGGAAGCTCAATATTACTGATTCAAAATAGTGGGGGGGTTTTCTATGTACTGTATATGCGCTAAATGGACATATTTGACCGGGCACTGCTTTTTCTGCATATATCACAGTATCTAAGATACCATATAAGATACCATATAAGATACCATGTCAAATTAGAAATGGTCAACTTCGAAAACTGACACAGAAGTGAATGTGCGTCGAAAACTGACACAGAAGAGAAGAAATTGTTAAATACATTTTTTTGTTTTGTTTTCTTTGCACACAAAACGTATTCCCGTAGCTTCGTAAAATTAAGTTTGAACCCCTGATGTCACATGGACTATTTTAACGATGTCCTTACTACCTTTCTGGGCCTTGAACGTGGTAGTTACATTGCTGTCTATGCAGGGTCAGAAAGCTCTTGGATTTCATCAAAAATATGTTCATTTGTGTTTGAAGATGAACAAAGGTCTTGTTTGGAACAACATGAGGGTGAGTAATTAATGACAGGATTTTCATTTTTGGGTGAATTATGCCTTTAAAGGCCAGATAACTTTGAACATTCTATTAATGTTATTGGACGACATTTGTTCAACAACTCTGCCAAAATATTAGCCACAGTTCTGTTAATGTTCCCTGTTAGCTAAATGTCCAGAAAACATGGAATTACCATCATACATGTCCCAAAATATTAAAATACTATGGTGTTTTGTTGTTCATACATAAGAGTAAACTATACAGTATATTCAATAACTTACATGAATAATGTAGCGGCTGGAGTCGCGATCATCAGGCCACACAAACATCTCAAACACAGCCTTCTTATTGTACCGTGCATTCAGAACAGCCAGGGTATCCTCCAGTCTCCACACTTGCTCTGTGAGATCAAAGTTTTGTGTTTTTTGTCCATGTCTGTTCGCTTTGAGGCAATATATATCCTAAAAAACTCTGCACAGATACTTGTTTAATATGTTCTGTTTTTCTTTTAATAATGAACTGGAAGCTCAATATTACTGATTCAAAATAGTGGGGGGGTTTTCTATGTACTGTATATGCGCTAAATGGACATATTTGACCGGGCACTGCTTTTTCTGCATATATCACAGTATCTAAGATACCATATAAGATACCATATAAGATACCATGTCAAATTAGAAATGGTCAACTTTTAAAAATAAAATGCAGTTTGTGGTTTTTAGTCCATGTCTGTTTGCTTTTTAAGGCAATATTCAAACTCACCAGCCACTTTATAGGTACACCTTTTCGACTGCTTGTTAATGCTGCTTGTTAATGCAAGCCAATCACATGGCAGCAACTTAATGCATTTAGATGGTCAAGACAATCTGCTGAAGTTCAAACCGAGCATCAGAATGGGGAACAAAGGTGATTTAAAGGGGTCATGACCACGGATTCGTTTACAAACAAGACACAATTTGACGCGGGATTTTCAAAAAGATTGAAACTAGCAGTAATGTCGCAGCACAAGTGAGTAACTGTTTTTATTACTGGTTTATTAGCTACTATTGCTTTTTTCTGTTATTACAGATCGTCTGATATGTGTGTTTAAAACAGGACAGAAAAAAGCTTATTACTTCTAAATTACGATGTAAAAATCTTGATAACATTATAAGCGGACCTCAGAGAACAGTACAAAATTATAATTTTTTAAAAACCCTTTAAGTGACTTTAAACATGCATGTTGGTTAGTGCCAGACGGGCACTAACTGCTCACCAAACTGCAGATCTGCTGGGATTTTTACCAAAGAAGCAAAAATATATGCTCTCATAAGCCTTATGGTAATGCAATGAAATTGATAAGTAGGCTTGCCCAACGTCATTTCTTTACAAATAAAATAAAAAATGATAGAACAAATGCATTTTTTGCTCATTTCACTGAAAAGGACAGTCCACTTGATATGTCCTTCATCAACTTTCTAAGCAGAAAATACATCGAAACAGATGAAACATGTTTCAGAGTCTTTAGTTTATAGTTTACTCTGAATTGACATTGCCACATAATGATCCAACTAATTCCCAATGGATAAAATCAGATCTTACGTTTTTCTTGTTGAATATCCTGTTTCACCCAGAAACGCATTACATTACAGAAGTCAAATGGGTTGCGTATATGCTGCTTGGTTGACTTTAATAAGCACAGATGATGCAAAATAAGAGCATTGCATATCATGAGTGGTTAATTTTTGTTTTTTATTCAAAATTCTGAGAAGAAACTCTTATTATAAATTACCCATGAAATCAAAACGGCCTTTTGTTTACATAGTAAGACGTATACCAATAGATAGGTTTTATGGTTAAAGGTCTCCAATGGCACCACAACCAGAATTATTACCTGTTCGTTGCTAAAATCAGTCACATAAATCAGTTAGGTGTATGTCTAGTGCATATGTAGATTATATTTCAGCACTGTTCTTCTATTCTGTTTAATTATTCTGCTCTCTCGCAGGGTCTATAATGAGCCACAGTGCCAATCATCACACAGTGGGTGGCTCTCTTATCCTCTCACCCTCCTCGACGCGGATCTGTCTCCCCCTACACATGACAGATGAGCGGGATGGCCACCGCTCTGTCAAACCACTGGACTTTTCCATCAGTCTAGCTCCTTATCAACACCCAGCGACAGCACGGCTGGAGCGATTGCATTTATCCCATTTAGATAAGCCCAAGATGCTGCCATTCTCTGTGAGAGTGAATTAGAGAGGACCGCTGCTATCTCCAGTACCTGCTGTGCTGTTCCAGGCCCCAGAGGCCACGGGCCAGTCGCCGATACTGTCAATGAGCCTGAGGAGAGGCCGCGAGTCACGCTGCTCGATCAGAGCTGCAGGGGGAAACAGAGAGACGGGACTAAGTTGGATTTGTGCACATATAGAGCGAAACGGAAAATTAGTAGGTGACCTTCATTTTCAGTAAAGTATTCGATAATAATCTATGAATATTTATTTATTACAGTTGTATTAATATATTTAACTCGCTTTTATAATTTCAGTTTATTTTCATTGTTATGCTCTTTTGTCATTTTTAGTAATCGTGTGTGTTTGTTTTTTAAATATTACTATTCAAGTTTCTTTTTTTTTTTGTTTGTTTAAATTTTAGTTCAAGTTTAGTTGTTTTTTTCAGTTACTAATTTTAGTGCTTCAACTTGCGCTTGTTTTTCATCTGATATTAATAATGTAGTTCATTTCAGCTTGATTTCAGTTAACAAAAATGTGTTTTAATACTAATTAAATAATAGTTTGTTTAGTTGCGATGTACTATCAATACTGCTATTAATACTACTATTAATTAATTATTTTGTATAATTCACTAATATTCATTTTAAATATAATTTAAAATTCAATTATAATTGCACACTAATGACAAAATAAAATATTTAATAAATATTAAAACATTTTCATATCATGAAACAAGTCAGAATTTTATATAATTCATTAATATTAAATTTATATTTAACATAAATGTTAATGAAATTCTGAATAAATAAATATAATTAATAAGCACTTATATAAGTATATTAAATAATTTATATAATTAAATAATTGTTCATTAATAATGCATTAAATATTAGTTTTAATGTTAGTTATCAGCTCCAGTAATCAGCTTTGTGTAACATTATACTTTATTATATTATTTTTACATTTGAAAAAAATTAAAAGTTGAACTTTTGGAAGCATTGCCAAGTTGTAGCAGAATCAAAAATGAGAATGCAATATAAAACTCTTTGATTTTACGTAAAAATTTAATATTTTCAAAGTTTATAGGAAAAATATACAAACATGTACAAATGTAGAATTTTGAGAATGTCATGAAACTCGATCAAATCGATCAATACTATACTTGCATACTATAAGCTGTCTCAGTCTTTCTACTTACCAATGTCATGTTTAATTCAGTGTCCCTCGCCATTTCTTTGTAATTATGTGTGACATTTAGAAGAAATTTAGAAGAAAAGTGAATCCTACACCATTGTAATGGTAACTCATAACATCAGCAATATAATAGAGTACAAGTAGATGACAGTATTGTTTACTCACTCTCATTCATGCATGAGCTGTAGAGCGTTTTGGCTTTCTTGAAGGCCTCTCTGTCGTCCTTATTTTCCATCTCCAGAACTCCTGTGCGATAATGAATAAGCACCAGCCGGATAACAATGTTTAAAAGAAATCTACACAAACCCATAATACTCATGGTGGTTACTGACCCTTGAGTACGATCTCCAGCTCGTCTCTCAGGATATTGAATACGCTGTGAAGTGAGCTGGTTTCGGGAATGACGTGACGCTCTATCCAGCCTCCGCAGGCGTACTGATAGAAGTTCTGGCACGGCTCCACGCTGGGGTCCATGTTCTGGAGCAGTCGGGCCGCTGTGTCGTTGAAAAACAAATCAGATTCAGATCGAGACGTTTCAGCTGACGTTTTGAGGTGGTGTATTATGCAAGCTCTCAGACATGTGTTCTTACCGGCAGTGACACACTGTGGGGTTGTACAGACATTGCTGTCAGCGTTTGATCGATATTTCAGCCCTGTTGCGATGTGGTGAGATAAACGACATACATGAGGTTAATATCTGACTCAAACAGGGCTGGGACCATGTGACATAATCCACTCAAATTGCACACGAGAGCTTATAGCTTCAGTTTAACGCGGGAAAACTGGAATAATATAATGCAGTTTATTGAAACAATGTTGTCTTATATCTTTCTCTTATCCATCAAAACAGGCACATTTTGTAAACATGACACTGGTTGGTTTGAATTGCTAATAGTGCATTTGTGTAATATATATGCACTATATAATGTATGTGCAGTGATATGATATTGTACAGAATATGGAGTGATTGTACAAAACTCAAAAAGATGAAAAACTAAATGAAAAGGCATCAGAATGAAATGAACGATGTGGATCAAATATGCCAAACTGTGATATGAACAACTTCACAGCATACTGTACCTTTTGAAGATTCATTTATGTTAAAACGCTCTGAAATACAGAGGAAAATACAAGAGCTTATAATCAAATATGTGTTCAGTGAGAACCTTTTGATACATCAGATGATTCTTGTGGGTAATTTTGTTTTAAATATTTTAAATGCATGTGCAAAGATATGAGATATCATTTTATGATAACTCTATACACTTTAATTCTGAATAAATAAAATATTTCATCATTATTTTATTTTGAATACTAATATTAATTATTTATTAATATTCTATTTAAATATAATTAAAAATTGTAAATACAATTACACACTAAGAAATAATTAAACTATTTTATAAATATTAAAATATTTTACAGATGTATTGAACTTAAATAACTATATTTATATTATATATATATAAAGTATATTAATTAATTAATATTAATTAAAAAAAATCTGGTTTTCTAGAGACTTCTAAGAAAGGTTGCACAAGCTGCACCACGTGGGCTATAAATAAATGCAATTAAATGCAAGTTATTTCTTAATGTATTACAAAGATCTTGAACATGTTTGTGTCTTTCAGTGTTGGGGAAAGTTACTTTTAAAAGCAATGCATTACAATGTTGCGTTACTCCATAAAAAAGTAACTAATTGCGTTACTTGGTTACTTTTTATGGAAAGTAATGCGTTACGTTACTTTTGCGTTACTTTTTAAATCTGGACAGGGCTTGCTTGTTTGTATTTAAAATAAAAAAGTTATATTTTTGGCAAATATAAAAGCCTTTTCACACCAAAAGTGAAATGAATAAGCCTCAGGCTGAAGGGAAAGTACATTTACGTCCGTACAGTAGAATGCAGAAGAAGACATTTAAACACACTTCAGCAATAAAAAAAGACACAAATGTTTGTCTAGAGTAATTTGTGCTTATTAGTACGGTTGAACTGGATCATTGAAGGTCAGAAGCAAATAGAATGGGATTAAATACATAAAGCATATTTGTGTTGTTTAACATTTAATTATTGCAGGTTTGCGTCATATTCCGAGTTGCATTATTTTTATTCATTTTGAGGAATACTGAATCAGTTTTTTTTTTTGTGTGAGATGAATTAATACATATTCTAACATCGTCTGATTTCCGTCACCATGGCAACACCAGAGCTGTCAATCAATAAATTGAAAAAAAAAAGTAACTTGCGTTACTTCCGATATTCTCTTGTAAATTAAAAATTCATGCGTTACTTTACTAGTTACTTGAAAAAGTAATCTGATTACGTAACTCGCGTTACTTGTAATGCGTTACCCCCAACACTGGTGTCTTATGGGGGGATTGAAAGAATAGCATTCAAAAGACTCCTGATCTGCAGCAGAAATGCCCACCTCTCAGAGCTGAAGTGTAGAGCACTATGAGTCCAGCCAGAGCGCAGCTCATCAGAAGCACAGTGACAGACAGTCCGATCTCCACTACAGTCCAGCGATGCTTCCTCGGTTTAGTGCTTTTCTCCATGATATCCATTTGGCTCTCTGATTTTCCCATTCTTGGAACTGTGGGACAGAGTATTGAAGTGTTGGTGGAGAGGGACGAGAGAGAGCCACAGGTGGAGCATCAGTGCATCCTGTTTTCGACTTTTGCCTCCAAAAACATTGATTTTTTTTTTCAAATGTGGAGGCGGTGTAGATACTGAATGAGAGAGATATGTATACACATTTCAAATCATGTTTAAAAGTCACCCGAAATACACAGTTTTACCAATGAATTACCATGACGTTTTCTTGTCTTAAAAAAAAAAAGATTGCACTTACACAGACAAATCTAGAGGTCGAATAAATGACACTTTTCACCTTTAAAATCAACGCGAATTATCATTCAAAACCCATTTATTTTGATAGTATAATGATGAATTTATAAATTAAACGACACATTCAATATGAAAAGGGGGCGGGACTTAAATTTTAATACGTCGATTGATTTGATTGCCCATATGGAAGGCCGTTTCCGCCACTGAATAAAAAAATTGTAAAAAGTAATTGCGACTTTTTATCTCACAATTCTGACTTTTTTTCACAGAATTGTGCGATATAAACTCGCAGTTGCGAGTTATAGTCAGACTTGCGAGATATAAAGTCAGAATTGCGAGATATAAGTCAGAATTCTGACTTTTTTTCTCAGAATTGCGTGATATAAACTCACAATTGCGAGTTAAAGTCCAATTTTGAGGTGGGGGGACTGATAAGTTCTCAGAATTGCGAGTTTATATCTCAAAATTCTGACTTTATAATTCGCAATTGCGAGTTTATATCTCACAATTCTGACTTTATAATTCGCAATTGCGAGTTTATATCTCACAATTCTGACTTTATATCTCGCAGTTCTGACTTTTTCTCGCAATTGAGAGTTTATATCACTCAGTTATGACTTTATAACTCGCAATTCTGAGAAAAAAAAGTCAGAATTGTGAGATTACTTTTTTTTTTTAATTCAGTTGCGGAAACGGCCTTCCATACGTTTCCGCCACGGGATAAGAAAAATTTTTACTTTTTACTTTTTTTCTCACATTTCCGACTTTTTTCTCTCTTTCTTTTCTTGCAATTCTGAGGGGGGGGGGAAATCTAACTGTAGGCTATATAAACTCAGAATTGTGAGATTAAATTTTTTTTTTTTTTAATTCGTAATTTCCTTTTTATTTTTTTATTCTGTCGTGGAAATAATAATAATAATAATAATAATAATAATAATAATAACAATAATAGTAAACTCAGAATTCTGAGAATAAAAGTCGGAGTTTGTAATTCCTCTCTCTCTCTCTCTAGCTCTCTCTCTCAAAATTGCAAGAAAAATGCCCGAATTGTGTGTTAAAAACTTGCAATTACCTTTTTAATTAATTAATTATTTTATTAAATTTTTTTGATCCCGTGGAAACTGTCTTCCATCAGTTAGAGCAGGCTTTTAACTAAGAATAATGCAAATCAGAATGCGAGTTTGCTATAGCAACAACAAAACCAGATTTTTGGCTAATAGCATCTAATAGCATGCACGCTGCACGTGACATGGGCTAAAAGATCAGGTTGGAATAGCCTGCAGTGATGAATGTTAACAACAGGACTAAGAATGCATATTAGGAAAGTAAATAGGACCATTTGATTTCATATTGACTTGAAAATATTAGGCAACCAACACACGAGGCAGTTAATGTAGCCGATAGAAAAAGTTAATGTAGTTAATGCACCCAGTCAGTTCACTCAAAAAGAGCAACTGCTTTGTTCTTGTTCAATTTTTAATGATGGTTAAATCCAGACAAGGCTACATATGAACCATTCTCGAGGTGTCTCCTACCCCATCACATCATAAAACGTATTTAATCTGTGGAAACCTGACGGGTTTCAGAAATGGTGTTTGGCCTCATATTGGCACCAGCACTTTTTCTGTGTCTTGGAAGCTGGAAAGTGCTGATAAATTTCCTGTAAAAATGTTAATTTCCTGACTCATTTGATGTCTGAAGGCAAAACAATAATCACAGAAAGCAGGCTCATCTAGAAATGAGTATAGCTTTTATAATGAGTTTTTTGTGACATTAGTTTTAAAGCTGTCCGTTAGTGTGCAGAAGGCAAAAATGATATGTTTGCTTTGGATTTTTATTAACCATATTGATAAATACAAACAAATAAATGACAGTGTGTATGCACTAAATCATTATTAGAGACATGCAATTAAACTACTATTTGCATTAAACTATACTATACATATTTTTGATACTATGAAACATATTTATATAGTATTATATAGCATAGTACATCATTTCCCTCCCAAATATTATGTATCTGCCCATACCAATAAATTGTGTTTCACATCAACCAAACCACACAATTTCACATAATAAGGTACAGTTTTTAAGTGCAAATACTATTAATGATAAACTGTTTAAAGCTGTTTTAAATAGTTTAAATTTCATGAATGCATGCTATTTTCATTGATCATTTTCATGTATCACTTGATATGTAGACCAGTATCTCTCCAAACCACTGACTCCTAAAACTACAGTTCGTTTGCATGTATGCTTTAAGAAAATTAGACGTTTCTTTCTCTTAGAGAGAAAATTATAGCTTATAACAGAGTCGCATGCAGTGATTTCCTTGGATCAAACGATCTAGTTGAGAAAAATCATGAAGCAACAGACAAGAAGCTGCATGCATTACTCTGCACACCTCTTTAAATGTAATCTAAATATTAAAAAAGGTAATCTAAATACTGGCTGACAATTGTTTGACAGCCACCCTACTTTATGTATTTGCAAGTGAAAATGTTACAGTTCCAGCTGTTGCTGTGTTGTCAACTGTCCCTTTGTGCCACCTGATGGTGATTTCGCTAACTAATTACATTTGACTGGGTTTAACATGAATACACAAGCGATTTTTCCCTGTGCAAAACTCATGGCATTTTTATGCGGTTGCTAAGATGCTAAGGTGGCTGCAACGACCTAGCAATGTGCTAAAACCCCTAGGAACATCTGGATAGCAATGCCCTGAGTGGATCGCTATGTGGTTGCTAAAGTGTTCTCGGTGGTTTTAGCACATTGCTATGATGCTGCTATTTAGTTGCTCTAAATTCAAGTTACAAGCTAAAGTTTAATGCTTAGGGTTAGTGGTTTGTTAATAGTATAACAGTAAAAATACCAAAGCTCATATTTATTAGCCGTCTTTATTTCACCTCCAAGCATCTGTTAAACTATAGTCCAAATCTGGAAGAGGAGCACACAGGTTAATGTCCGCTGGCCTCTCATTATTCACAGGCCAGGTGGACTGAAGATGGCAGTGCAGTCGGGGGAGCTGGCAGGAACTGACATCAGCTTGGCAGGGAAGTGAGCTTCACTCCCACCGGTGTCAGATTGAAATGGCATGGTGCCCATACTCATTACCAGCCTGATTAACCACTGTAATTAGCTGATATTAGAGAAAGCGAGAGCCACCGGTGGCAGCGATCAGCACTGGCGCAGAACTGCCCAGCTGTCCATATCAGTTAGCTCATCATAACACAAGTCGAGGGATAAATGCTAGAGACCAGAATAGAATGAGAACAACCTTTCGCTCACGATAGGGAACATGGGTGAATGGCTGCTAATTACAGGTGCCCATTAAAGATGATGAAGCTCTGCAGGCTGATCTCGACGTATAGAAACAAGATGAGTTTGTTGAACACAAAGTAGATTTTCCTGTCAAATTTACTCATAGTTTCGCTCTGCTGCTGCTAAGTCACTTTTATTCATCTAGTAGTGCTTTATGATACAATAGTTTAAAAGCAGCGCTCCAGGAAGCTTTATTATGGATTATTGACAGCTATTTTGGCCAAAAGCATCAGGTTAAAGTGAAAAAGCCTCAATGATGGATTTGTTTATTACAAACATGCAGCAGTTTTCGCTTCGCAAGATGTTAACTGATGAACTGGAGTGGTGTGGACTACTTGTGGATTATCGTGATTCTGACGGCACCCATTCACTGCAGAGGATCCATTGTTGAGCAAGTGATGGAATGCTTAATTTCTCCAGATATGATGAAGAAACAAATTAATCTACATCTTAGATGGCCTGAGGATGAGCAAACTTTCATTTTGGGTGAACTATTCCTTTACGGTTTGTAGTTAGAACAAACCTCTAATCCTAGTTTGCCTGTGCACTAATCGTTTGCATTTTAGGACAGCAATATAGTGCAGAAATGACATATTTCAGCTTTAAAATCAATGTGAATTACCATCACAACACATTTTACTGACAATATGTATTTCAAAATAAAACGGCACATTTGATACGAGCAGAGGTGTAAAGTATTGGAGTAAATGTACTTAGTTACTGTACTTGAGTATCTTTTCGTGTACTTTGTAGTTGTACTGAGTATCAAAGATATTAGCAACTTTTACTCTTTACTTCACTACATTTGAAATGAGTGTTACAGTTATATATTACATTTTGCATGGACCTAGCTTTTTCTGTGGCAGTTTATTTCTGCTACAAAAGACGTGATACTGCCTATTACAGGTCACTGAAAGTACTGCGTTTTGCCCTTACTCACCCAAACTTGTCAACAAGGCTACTTTATGTGAATGCGAGTCCCTTAGCAAGTATTTGTGAATCAGAGGTGTTTTATATATGAGATGAGGACAAGACTGCAGCCGGCAATAAGGCCCAAACCAGCACATCCACTGCAAGAAGGCTTCGGCTTTTTAATTTGACTTAACATTATTTTATTTATCCATTATACTGAAGAGACCTTTTTGAAAGATATTGTTTTTTGTTTGTTTTGTTTTGTAATTTTGAGGTGTTCAGTTTTATTTTGGTTTTAGAAAATAAATGTGATTGCTCTCCTCACAAATTAACTCTTTCTTGTTTTTGTTTCATGCTCTCTGTGCCTTGCCCTGGACTTTTATGTCACTTCCTGTCTCCCGTGGTGTTTGTAGTCAGTTTGTAGTCCGTTTGTTCATTGGTTCCCCTTGATTAGTCTCCCCAGGTGTCTTATCTTGTTAAGCTTGTTAGCCCCCTGTGTGTATATATAGCCCTAGTTGTTCTTTAGTTCCTTGTGAGTTGTTGAATGTAATGGTTGTCTGTTTGCCAGTCAT